AAATATTTAACAACTAGAAAATGGCACAACTGCCCTTTTGCTGTCATGGGCTGCTTTTCTGAGGTAGCCAGTGCAGTGTTCTCAACTTCCTGTCCTTTTTCTTCTTTTGTAAAGATTTTATTTTGAAGTAATTGCTACACCTAACGTGGGGCTCGAACTCACAACCCTAAGATCAATAGGGAGGAAGAAGTTAGAAAAATAAAACAGAGGGCACTTGAGTGGCTCAGTTGGTTGAGTGTCCGACTTCGGCTCAGGTCATGATCTCACAGTTTGTGAGTTCAAGCCCTGCATCAGGCTCTGTGATGACAGCTCGGAGCCTGGTGCCTGCTTTGGATTCTGTCTCCTTCTCTCTCTGCCCCTCCCCACTTGTGCTCTGCCTCTCTGTCTCTCAAAAATAAATATATGTAAAACAATTTTTTTTTAAAAATAAGACAGAAAACTAAGCCCAAGTAAAGTGGAAGAAAGGAAATAACAACAAAAATGAGTCAAATTGAAAGGCAATTAATTTATTAATTAAATTTAGCAATGTTGCTGGATCCATTCTCCGTATACCAAAATCAGTAGTACTTCTACTAACCACCTACAGTTAGTGAAATTCAACAATGAGACCATTTACAGTAACATTAAAAAAGCAACAAATTTATAGGAACACATCTAGTGAAAGGTGTACAAGACCACATACTATATTACTGAGAAAAATCAAAGAAAACCGAAATCAAGGGAGGAGGGGATGTACCATGTTCATAGATTAAAGGACTAAGAATATTCATACCAGCACCATTCTAAATACCCTAAACTAGAAACAACCCAAATGGTCCTCAACAATAGAATGCACAAATTCAGCATGATGTAATCCTACAACTGAATACATTCAGCAATGAGAATGAACAAACTTCTGCTGCATGCAGCAACCCAGATGAATTCCATAAACATCATATGGAACAGTACGCATTTATTTCATTTATAAAAAGTTCAAAAACAGACAAAATGACTCTATGGTGTTAGAAGTCTGGATAGCAGGAGATAAAGACAAAGAGGGGCTAGGAGAGATTTCTGATGTTAGTCATCTGTTTCTTGACCTGGGTGGTGGCTTCATAAGGGTGTTTGCTTTGTTATAATCAAGCCATACATTTATGGTTTGTGCACTTTTCTGAATATGTTTTAATTCAAAAACTCAATAAAAAAAGAATAATTCAGGAAATGGAAAATTGTGATATAAAGGACTTACAAGGTTTCTCAAATTCCATGATCCAGATGAATTCTGTGTCATATGTGGATACTGCAGCTCAGCAAAAGAGCTGAGCACTTTATAGTTATTCATTTATTTAGCCCTCTCTGATTAAATAGTGTTCTATGAAATAGGCAATACTCTTATCATCCACCTACCCACTCTCAATTTGAAGATAGTTGCAAAAGTCTGGAAAAAAAAATTAGTGAATATCATTTCTCATTTTCCAGGTGAGAAAACAGGCCCAGAGAGTTTAAAAAAAAATTTTTTTTTAACACTTACTCATTTTTGAGATTGAGAGAGACAGAGCATGGGTAGGGAGGGGCAGAAAGAGTGGGAGATACAGAATCAGAAGCAGGCTTCTGATGCTGAGCTTGAACTCATGGACCGTGAGATCATTTCCTGAGCCAAAGTCAGAAGCCCAACCAACTGAGCCACCCAGGCACCCCAGGCCCAGAGAGTTTAAAGTAACTTCCACAAAGTCAAAAGATAACTAAGGAGTAAGAACCAAGAGTCAAACCTTGGCAGTTTAGTCCCAGGACTCATGCCCTATGCCACTCTGCAGAGTCAGCTGTTTCTCTTCCATTCCACTCCTTCCCCAGTTCCTGGAACAGTGTTTCTCAAGCTACATAATTCATTCCACAGTCCATGTGGTGTCTTTGCCCATGTTTGATGACACTAAAAACAATAGCGCTTCCTATTGTATTGCAGCACTTGCCAATAATGGACAAACTTTTTAAGAGCTTGGAACCCTGTGCCAGGAAAATCACTGAACAAAAAGTCTTCTGTATTTTTGTCACTAGAAGCAGAGTTGGGAAGGGCACATAATACACATGTTCACTGCCAAGAAACTTGCATAATGATTTTCTGCATCTTTAAAGCCCTGAATCCATTAAGGCTTTTTAACTGGTATTTACCACACAAAGGGCAGATATTATCCATATCCATCCCCAAGCTCCTCTTCATGCCATCTTTTATCTAGAACTGTTAAAATTGCTCAGTTAACTATGCATAAACATGTGGAATAATCAGTATTCTCAGCTATGTAAAAATGCAGAAAAAATTTTTAGGAAATATACCAATTATGAACAGTAGTTATCTTTGGGTTGTAGCTTTTTGCGTTGGTTTTTATTTTTTTATTTTTTGGTATCCTCAAATTTTCTACAATGATTATATGTCACCTTTTAAATAATACAATTTTTAAAATCAGCTCAGAGTACATAAATTTTTATATAATCATGTAATCATAATTATGTCAAAATGTGTATATAGTAAAAGACTGGAAGTTTTATTATTATTGTTAATAATAATTTTTTCTGGATGTAGGGCAATGAGTTTTTTCTCATTCTACTTTTTAGAACTTTCCAATTTTTCTGTAACAATCATATCAGTCAAGATTCTTGATTGCAGGGGTGCCTGGGTGGCTCAGTCAGTTAAGTGTCAGACTTCGGCTCAGGTCATGATCTCACTGCTCGTGAGTTTGAGCCCCACGTCAGGCTCTGTGCCTGCTTCAGACTCTGTTTCTGTCTCTTAGCCCCTCCCCTGCTCATGCTCTGTCTCTCTCTTTCTCAAATATAAATAAAAAATGAACATTTAAAAAAAGAAAAAAAAGATAAAAAAGATACTTGATTATCAAGAGTGGAAATTGAGTCCAGCTACCTTAAGCAGAAAAGGCTTTATTATAAGATCATAAAGTGTTTCTCACTATCTTTTGGAAGCAAAGGAAGGCTTAGTAGGACAGAACCCAACCAAGGCCAAACCAAGGTCAACGATTTGGTTAGGAGACTGTCACTGGAACTGCCACCCAGGCACTCGTAGCCATTGCTGCTGCTGGACTCCCGATGCCCGCATTGCTATAACAAATATACTAACTGTCCCTCTGTCTTTGTGTCACTCTTTCATGGTCCAGATTTCTGGGCAGGATCCCCTGATTCACTAACAACAATCATGTGCCCATGTTCTAGCTGCCTGAGCTTAGGGAGGACTGTCTGGCTCTTGACTGGGCTTCCCACAAGGTTCATACAATGGGGATCCTTCCAAATAGGGAGTTCAAATGTGGGATAGCTCAAAAAAAAGATAAATGTCTACTACACTCAGATATTGTTACTATTATTATTATTGTTATTTGCAATGTCTCAGATCAGGCTTCAGAGCTGGTCTAATAAAGATACTAATCACCATAAGTAGGCATTGCTTTTATACTGGGAATAATAATTTTTTTTTTTATAAAACACAGACACTTTGTGTCTGTCACACAACATGGATCAGAGTGCATTTTACTTTACACAGTGTGGATTAAAAAACGGGGTTTTATTGGGAGAAGTTATAAGCCAAGGATCAGTGAAAAAAGGCCACGAGACTCTATCTTCCCCTTGTTCCCCAGACAGGTGTGCCATGGTCAAGTGCCGCAGGACACAGACTGGGTCTGTGTTTCTGGGGATGGACCTCACACCCTTATTTGCTCCTTTTTTTCTAAGTGCAACTTTGCCAGTGAAGGTAAAATCAGATTGCCTGAGCACTGGGCAGTAGGAATTTATAGAGTGCCAGGAGTTACCCGAGAAGGCTACTTTTCTAGAAAGGAGAAGTCTCCCGGTGAGTGGAAGGAGCCAGCAAGGGATAGTATGGGTACTGACACCCAGGTCTTGGCCTGGATGGAACGATGGGTGTGCTGTTCATTGAGCGAAACAACACAAGCAGAAGAGGGATAGGGTAGGCTTGGGGAAAGCGATGAGTTTAGTTTGGGACGTGCTGAGTCTGGAGTATGTATAAGTCACTCCCGGACAAGGTCAGGGTTCCCATTATACACCCCCCACAGCAGCCTGCACCTCTCTTTTGTATTGCTAATCCTGAATGCACTTTAATCAATAACTGCAGAATTAGTATTGAATCTTTATTCCAGATCATGAGTTCCCAGAGGTCTTGGCTCAGGTCTAACTACTTCACTGTTATATCCCCAGCACTTGGCATTCAGTCAGGCACAGAGCAGGTAACCAATACATATGTGTTGAATGAATTAATGAATCTCTGTGGAGACCTAGAGCAGGCAGTGGGATATGTGGATAGGAAACTGAAAGACCTGGGATGAAGATCTAGATTCAGGAGAGTTCCACACTTAGATACTGAATTCAAGGCACTGGGTAAGCTGGGTTACCCACTGAGCCCAGGTGCGTTGAGAAAACCAAGGAGCCTAAGCCAGAACCCTGGGAAACACCATCATACCAGGGAGGCAAGGAGAGGAGCAGCCAGAGGTAGGTAGAGAACTAAGAGAGAGGGTGGTGTTCTGGAAGCTAAAGGAGAAGAGAGTTTTCAGCATGGTGGAGTGAATGGAGTCAAATGCTGTCAGTTAGGAGTTCTCGTAAAATGAAAAACACCAATACTTGTGAAGTTCTTGTGTGCCAGGCACTGTTCTAACAGCTCTCAATGTATTAACTCCCTTAATTTTCAAGACCACCAAGTGAGATGGGTGTTATCATTATTGTTCCCTCCCTAAAACGAGGTTACTGAGGCACAGAGAGGCCACCCAGCTAGGAAGTGGGAGGGCTGTATTCTGAACCTAGGTTATCTGTTTCCCAGGTCTGTGCTCTTCACCATTATATCTGCTGCCTCAGAGAAGAGGTAGCCGGTGGGTCACAAGTAACATCAGGGGGAACAAATTTCAGCGGGGCTGTGGGGTGAAGCTACAAGGCAATGAGAAAAAAGGGGAGTTGGAAGCAAGAGAGTCAAGACCAGAAGTCCAGCCCTTCGCTACAAAGAGTGGTCCAGCTACACTGACCCCACCTGGGAGTCCATGAGACATGCAGAACCTCGAGCCGCAGCCAGCTCTTCTGAATCAGGTTTTGCAGTTTAACAAGCTTCTTGGGTGATTCATGTGCCTGGTGAAGTCTAGTTGGACTAGATGATCTTTCAGGAACTTAGGCTGTGAAGAGAGAGAGAGACAGAAGAACACAGTGTTAAGTGAAAGGTTTTTTTAGGTTGGAGAGCCTTGAGCAGGTTTATAGACTGAGACCAGTGGTTTGCAACTCCTGTAACATCCTAGAAGCATCTGGGTGCTATTAAAAAATACTAGTTTCCTAAGGCCTACCCTCAGAAAGTCTGTGGCCCAGGTGATTCTAATGAATCTACATGGCCTACCCAAGGGGAAGGCACAAGTAAGGAAGGACAGGATGGAGGTGGAGACGCCAGGGAATAACAAAATGGATGAAGGTCTCCTCAGGGAAATGGGAAGGGATGGGGTAAGGATGAAGAAATGCAAAGATGTTTTGTGGAAGGAGGGAAAGCAGTAACAATAAAGCAGAGAGAAATGTGTAGAGGGTGGGGACCCGCAGGCCTGAGAGCCATGATTGGTTGATTCTTTAAATGCTAACTAGGACATGCATGGTGTGAGAAGAGGGTACTTGAAGTCAGATGGTGTTACTGGCCTGCTCAGGGCCTTGCAGTATGTTTCCATCACACATGGCTTACTAGGCCCGTGGTGACTTCATTCTCTGCTCTCCACTGACCTCCAGTACACCAACCTCTTCAGTATTCCTTTTCCCACTGACCATGTTCCTGCCTCGGGGCCTTTGTACTTGCTCCTCCCACCTACGGGCTGTTGTTCCTCCAGATACTCACATGGCCTGTTCCCTTACTTCAGTCAGGTCTCCTCCAATGCCGTCTTCTCAGAGAAGACTTCCCACATCACTCTCTATTCCCTTTCTCTGAATTGTTTTCTGTTACTGCCCAACATCAGGTCATAAAGCTACTTGCCTATTTGTTTCAGTCTGCCTTCTCTACCAGAACACAAATTCCATTGTCTTGTTCACTGTGGAAAACCCACCGCCTAGAACAGTGAGGCACAGAGGTGTGCTTGTAAAAAGTTTGATGAGTGAATAAATGACAGGTGCTGCTTGGTGCAAATAAATAGGATACTGAAATAAATGAACAGGTATTGCTGACAGTGCTTGGGGAAAGTGACTAGGTAGGGAGATTGAGGAAGAATAAGATGAGTAAGGACAAGTAAACAGGCAACTTAAAGGCCTGACCGAGGAGGAAGCAAAGAGTTGTAGCAGCAAGAAAGACTATGGTTTCTGCACTACACCAGCAACTCTGTGTTGGTCTGGGAAAGTCTGTTAATCTTCTAAACCTCAATCTCCCCATCAGTAAAATGAGGTTGATGACCATAGTATCCTCCACATAAGTGTATGATGGGGGTTAAGTGAGCTAGTAGCTCTGGGTGGCTCAGTTGATTAAGCATCGGATTTAGGCTCAGGTCAGGATTTCATGGTTGGTGGGTTCAAGCCCTGCATCTGGCTCAGTGCTAGCAGTGCAGAGCCTGCTTGGGATTCTCTCTCGCTCTCTCTTTCTCTGTCCCTCCTCTACTCACACTTTCTCTCTCAAGAGATAAACTTTTTTAAAAAATGTAAAGAAACTATAAGCTCTCAATACGTGCTAATTACTGTGATCAATCCCAGATCATGGGAAGAGTGTGAAATGTTGCCACCTAAAAAAAAGTTTCTGTAATCATTCCAAGTGTTGACCCAAAATGTCCCATCCTGATATAGCCTTGACTTGTTACCTTGCCACCACCCACCATCCACACAAACATGTCTCTGCTTTGCCAAAGCCATCAGCAGCCTTTTCTCCTTTCTTCTTTTTTAAGTGTTTATTTATTTTTGACAGAGACAAGCACGAGCACGAGCACGGGAGAAACAGAGAGAGAGGGAGACACAGAATCCGAAGCAGGCTCCAGGCTCTGAGCTGTCAGCACAGAGCCCGACATGGGGCTTGAACCAACAAACCATGAGATCATGACCTGAGCCGCAGTCGGACCCTTAACCTATTGAGTCACCCAGGCACCCCACCTTTTCTCCTTTCTGATGACTCTTCCGAGAACTACCCTAGCGCCTGGCACAATAAGTTCTCCATAAATTGTTGGAGTTCACTACAATTCTCCCAAACAGTGCTGCTTAAGTGTTACCTTGTCAGGAAAACCTTGATGTGAATTTGTGGCTCTGGCCTTTTTAAGGAAGATGGGCTATGTACAAAGACAGCATTCTACGGGCTTGGAATCATCTATAAGACTGGCATAGTAAACATACCTCAATAGGACGGGAGTGGGTTTGTTCCTCTGGAACTTCTCTGATATGCCTTAGGCGTCCAAGGGCGGCCAGAGGCCAAGAGCTGGTGCGGAACCGTCGACTCCTTTAAAAGGCGTGGCCTCGCTGTAGCCGCCGCGGGAGTGACTGGCTCAAACTGCCGGGGGCGGGACTCGGTTGCCAGGGAGCGGCGCGGGGAGCTCGGGGAGCTCGGGGATCTGCGGAGGCTGCGCGAAGAAGCGAGGTGCTTGCTGGGGCCGGGGCTGCGCGACGGCACTGGGGGCTGCGGTGAGCGCCGCGCAGGCCGTGCAGTTCCCAGCGGAGAGGCGCCGCCGCCATTGCCGCCTCGCTCGGTGAGCGCATCCCGCTCGCCGAGCAGGGCCCCAGTGGGGCGCCGGTACCATGGGCCAGTGCGGCATCACCTCCTCCAAGACCGTGCTGGTGTTTCTTAACCTCATCTTCTGGGTGAGCGGGGTCGCCGGGCGGGAAGGGCGAGGGGCCGGCGGCGCGGGTGAGGGGAGGCCTCGTCTGAGGCGCCCCAGGGCCCGGCGGCGACGGGTCCCTGCGGCTAGGCCCCTCGCGGGCTGGGACGGAGGCCCCGGGCGTAGAGGGCGGTGAAGGGAAGCCCTCGGGCGGCCTTCGCGATTGAGCTTCTTGAGTCCCCGACCGGCTGGCTCCGCGCAGTGAGGCTGGGCCAACACCCCCCCCCCCTTCCGGCCCTTCCCCTGGAACAGCCTGCTCATCCGAGAGCTCTCAATGCAGATTCTTTCAGGACACCAGGCTTGAAATAGGATATTCCCCAAAGGGTCAGGCTCCTCTTTCTTTGTCAGGGCCCGGAGCCCCCGCAGCTCCGGTGGCAGTCCTGAAGCGTGTGAGCAAACGGTGCAGCGACGCGGGGACGCTAGCGGCACAGGGCTGAGGGATTTTGACTTCCAGTTCTTTGTGTGTCTAGAACTTGTTATTTGGTTACCAGCCCAGAAAACTGAAAGGTTTCAACTTATTAAGCCAAATAATTCTTTGCCCGGGAAAATCATTATATTTGTTTGGTCATTGGGCGTGAGTAACCTGAGATTATAAACCTTGGTGAAATAGGATTCGGATGTCAAAAGATTTTGAAAGCGATGAGTTCACTTTCAATAAAAGGTGGCTTGTGAATTTTTTTGGACACGCCCCCGAAGAAAGGAGTGTTTATAACCACTTAGTTCATCTTAGTTCGGTTTCTTATCTCACCAGGGACTTGTAATAACCGGTGTTGTTCCTATCATTCTCCACCCTCTAGTCCATCTGGACCTTGCACCCGGATGAATAGTAAGCATTTCTTCCCTTACATCGTTTTCTTTAAGAAACAAAATCCAGCCCGAAATCTTCAGCAGTAGAATAAGGTTCAGCCTCCTCTTGGTGTTGCAGCTGAAGTCCTCAGTCACCTTTCCTTCCTCATGACTGGCCAGGTTCTTGCTGTCCAGTCCCCAGACATTCCTTGAATGTTCATACTTTGCTTTTGTGTGTCCCCATTCAACTGCTTCTTCTCACGCACACCTAATTTGGAAGGAATCCTTACCTCCTTACCACCGCGCCCCGGCCCCCCCCCCACAACAAAGGATGAAGCGTTTCATATCCCAACCCCTGTAGCATAAAAGGATAATTCTATATAATAAGGCATTTACTACACACTCTTACTGCCATAGAGTCTTTTAGGGTATTTCTGGTGTGATGGAAAGAGTCCCAATAATACCTGTTCAAAATCACACATGTGACATTGGGATTTCTATGATCTTTTCTAATTAGAACAGTATTTCTCATACTTTAGTTTGAGTTACCAGCCTTTTTAAAAGGTTAAAGAATATTTCAGTGATCCTCAAATGAGAAACACTCAATTAGATAATAAGGTACTTAGGTAGAGACTTGGCTTTGTATCCTTTACAGTTTCTTGGGATTTTTATGGGCATAGCTATTTGACTTTGAAGAGTAAACTATCAAATGAATTCTATGCTATTCAGTCTCAGGGACTGGAATCATTAATGTAACAAAATATTAAACATATAGGAGCCATTTTCTTTAATTAATTTTTCATTTACTGTAAAATATCAGTTAATTCTAAGTGCTCATGAATCTTTGGAAATTGTGTATCTACTACTGGTACTTCTGTGGAGAAAGGTCATACCGAACTTCACTTGTGCTTGTCATAGTGGGTTATTGCCAAGACTAAAGTCATACTGTGTAGTAAAAATACCCTTTTTCTAGGTTAGTAGGATAGTAAAGCTTTTGTGAGCAGTAATAAGTTAAACAGACATGCAGGGTCAGGGGTGGGAAATGTGGCTTAGAGCAGGATTAGTGGAACATAACTAATGAGGAAACAGTATTAGACATGTCTCCCACCTAACAGTTTAGGGACAAACTGTTGGAATCTGATGATGCTCGTAATGATAACTAAGATTTTAGTATTTATACCCAGGCAGTGTGCTGAGCACTTTACAGTCTCTGTCCTCACAGCAACCCTATCTGGCAGTTTAAATATTCTTATGCATATTTTACAGATGCAGACTTTATGGTTTACTGAGGCAAAGTTGCACACCCAAGGTGTGGCAGAGCCTGTGTTCAATCCCAGGTTGTCTTATTATCTAGAGCCTGTGATGTTAGAGCAAAATGTGATTTTAAAAGATTTGGAAAGGGGAAGGAACTCCTTAGCCAAGTTAAAGTCACTTTCTCTAAACCATACTAATTTTAACCTTGGTTAGAGCCAGTACTTTCATGTAAACTACACTGACTTGTCAGTTTAAAAAATTAGGTCATTATGAGGAAGTACATAAAACAGATGTTAACTGGTCCTTCCTGAGAATGTAATGCATTCTTCAGTTCTAATAAGTGTATTCTTATATAATGGCCCCTCCCTCCTTCTAATGCCGCATACGTGGAAGAATAAACATTCCCTACATAGAGCATATCAAAAGTTTATCTAGGTTCCCTGGAGCAACTTTGTGAAGACTATATTAGCTGTGTTGCACTAGTTCCTCACTATCAGATGGTAATGGCTGCTTGTGATAATGGCTGACTGGATTAATTGCTTTGGCAAGATCTTTATACCTTTTAATATCTTGATATCCTGTTTTAGTTGGCAGTTTGTTCAATGAGCTGTGGAAATAGATATGTACCTGAAATACTTAGCCTTGGCCCTACATGACCTGCCAGTCAAAATTGTTAATGTGGACTTGACCTGGATTCTTTTGGATGGTGTGGTCTAAGAATATTAACTCAGAAAAGGCACAAACGGTCGTTTCTAAAGTCCTAAAGGTTGTCTTATTGGAACTAGAGAGTTCCTTACCAAATTCCAGAATGTTAAGGCTTGAAAGATAATTTGGGACAAGTGAAATCAGATGTACAACTTGAATCTCTACTTTTTGGAGTGGCATAGCTTTAAATGTAAGTTTATTAGTGCTAGACCATGATAATTTATGGAAGACAGGAGTGTTTGAGGTACATTACTAAATTTTGAAGACTGTTGGAATAGTCATTAGCCTCTTCTATTAACTGCACCCTTGTACCAAGATCAGAAAGGATTCTTAATTTGGTGGGTCATTTGCTGTGACCCAGAGGCCTCATCTAAAACTTTAAATCAGTGGGGCGCCTGGGTGGCGCAGTCGGTTGAGCGTCCGACTTCAGCCAGGTCACGATCTTGCGGTCCGTGAGTTCGAGCCCCGCGTCAGGCTCTGGGCTGATGGCTCGGAGCCTGGAGCCTGTTTCCGATTCTGTGTCTCCCTCTCTCTCTGTCCCTCCCCCGTTCATGCTCTGTCTCTCTCTGTCCGAAAAATAAATAAATGTTGAAAAAAAAATTAAAAAAAAAAATAAAACTTTAAATCAGTACTTTTTAATTTTCAGGTTTTATTCTCGTAAGTTAATTGAGTACTCAGTCAAGTTCCATATTACACAAATTGCCTTTACTTTTTCTACCCTATAAGAAAAAAACCAACTGGCTAGTATTTATTTTGCTGATGTGTCTTAGGTATTATATTGACTGCAAGAGAAAACTTTGTCCATGCTTATAGAATTTATAATGTGGCATATCTATTTAGACTTTTGTTTTTCATCCATATGAGAGGTGATAGTAACACTAAAATACCTATGGGGGTAGGAAATACTACATGAAAGTCAGATAACTTTTCAAGTGTCTTTAGAAAGAACTCCAGAATGTGGCACCTTCACTAATCATCGTTCACTTATATGAAGTACCCTATACATACAAATCATATTTGAAAGCCACATATAACCTTTAATATTTATCCTTAAAAAAATCTTTTCATACCACACTTCTATCTGAATATATGTAGTTAAAGAAAATTGCTTTGTTAAACAAATACAGCACAAATACTTGAGCACCTAGTTTGTGCTTGTATTATTGATAAAACGATGGAAAAGACAGGGAAGGTCTTGTTCTTACAGAACTAACTTTCTAGTGGAGCAAGCAAGAGTAAGCAAGAAAAATATCAGATAGTGGTGCATTATGCAGACAGTTAAAACAAGGTCATATCATAGAGTGAGTGAATGAATGGCTGCCTTAGGTTGGCAAAGAAGGCTTCTCCAAAGATGTGAACTCTGGAATACAAGGAGGCACCGATTTGGGCATGATTTGGAGAAGATGAGGGCATTCAAGACAGGGAATAGCCTGTAGGCCTTGTGGCAAAAATATACTTGGTATCTTCAGATTACCAAAAGAAGCTTCAACTATAGTATTCATGCTTTTGTTTAAAAAAAAAATAGGGACACCTGGGTGGCTCAGTTGGTTAAGCATCTGACTTTGGCTCAGGTCATGATCTCTCAGTTCATGGGTTCGAGCCCCGAGTTGGGCTCTGTGCTGACAGCTCAGAGCCTGGAGCCTGCTTTGGATTCTGTGTCTCCCTCTTTTTCTGCCCCTCCCCTACTCGTGCTCTGTCTCTGTCTCTCTCTCTCTTTCAAAAATAAACATTTAAAGGGTGCCTGGGTGGCTCAGTCAGTAGAGCATCCAGCTTCGGCCCAGGGCATGAACTCGTGGTTTGTGAATTCAAGCCCCACGCTGGGCTCTGTGCTGACAGCTCAGCGCCTGGAGCCTGCTTCAGATTCTGAAGCTGTCTTGTTCCTCCCCTGTTTGCTCTCTCTCTCTCTCTCTCAAAAATGA